CAAAACAAAACAAAACAAAACAAAACAAAACAAATACAGACCTCTGAAGCAGATTCCAGACAGGAAGCTACTGAGAACCCAAGACCCTGCAGGCTTCGCTCCTCATGTATCGGGAAGGGTGGGAACCGCAGCAGAGGTTGCTGTGCTCAAAGTCCCTCAAAGGGGCTTTAGAGAGGATGGAGCCCGACTTTCTTAAGATAGAGAAAAAGTCTGGAGAACAGAGGGCTATGCCAAATCACCCATCAGGGTAGATGCAGGGCTGGGACCTGTCTCCTGCCTGCCAGTCTGGCTCTTCCCTCTCCCCACGCTGCAGTCTGCCTGCACAAGGGCTGTCGTTTTGGATCATCAGCTTCTAGAAGGTAGGACTGGACAGAATAGAGGGCGGGGAGAGCCGAGGGCAGGAGTGGATTGGGTGGGGTGGGTGGGTGGCTAGTCCCGGGCTGGTGTGGTCAGGTGACCCGGGCAGCCACTCCCTGGGCGCAGGGCGGGCAGCAGCACTCTCTCTTCTTGTAATCCGCAGAGCAGGCGTGGCAGAGCAGGTCTCCGCAGAGCCTGGGGAGCAGAGACAAGGAAGACAGAGGCCTCTGCAGCTGGGGTCATGGAATTCCAGCACCTTCAGGTCCCCCTCAGATGCCAGTTTCTCATGTCCCAGCAGAATGGCCCTTGGTCTATGTCAGGGGGTCTCCCCTCTCCTGAAGGGTCTCCTGATGCCCGAGCCCCCCAGAGCCTCCACCTCCGATGTCAGCTTCTCCTGGTGGTTCCCTTTCCTCTCCTGCTGCTTGTCCTGCCCCCATGATCACAGAGGAAGGTGGGGAGCAGCTTCTCCTGCGTGGGATCTCTCTTCCCAGACGAGGGGCCCATTCATCAGTTTGTTCCTTGAAGAGTTACACCGTCCTGCCCTGCAGAGCCTCCTCCTCATCTGACCCCCTTCTGCTGTTCTGTTTCGTGACTCTGCTTAGTGTTGGAAGCCAGACACGGTAAACTGAGTGGCCAGCTTTCAGTGGCCTCTCATGAACCCCCAGTTCCCATGTCCCCCCTTCCCTGGGTGGGAAGGGGGCTGTGAGCTGGTGGAAGCCGGAATGTGCCCGAGGAAGGATTCTGTGCCCTCCTCATTACCTGCATGGATAGCGCCGAGACAGTCGGCCAAAGACCTTGCCGCAGCCCACACAGCGCCCAGCGGCCACGGAAGTCAGGTGTTGGAGCCTCTGCCACTGGTGGTCCTTCTCCCTGGTGGAAGGATGGAGGGGGAGAGATGCACACATCGACAGGGACAGGAAGGTAGAAAGGTGGAAACGACCCGGATAGAGAGACAGAAAGGGACAGCAAGGGAAACACAGAGATGACAAGAGGAAGAGAGAGCGAGTGGCAGAGGGAGTCACACACAGACACACAGAGAGACAAAAAGAGACAGAGAGACAGAGAAACAAGGACAGAGAGGCAGAAGGACAGAGATACAGCAATGGAGAGAGACTCAAAGAGGGACAGAGAAAGACAGTCACTCGGAGAGAGAGAGGAAGCCAGGGAGTTGGCAAGGGTGACAGGGAGAGACACATGGAGAAGGAGAAAGATCCATGTAGAGGGAGAGAGAGACACAGAGACAGAGATGCAGAGACAGAGAGAGACAAATATAGAGACAGTGAGAGACACACACAAGAGATCAGGATGGTGACATTCAAGTCCATTTCGCCCAATGTAACCTTGACTCCCTTTCTGAAATGCAATGACGCCAGCATCCCTTCCTTTCAACTCTCCTTCCTCTACCTCCTAACTTGTCATCTATTCCCACAGCATCCAACATGGTAGCCACTAGCCACATGTGGCTATTTAAACTTAAATTAATTGAAATTAAACAACATGAAGACTTCAGTTCCTCAGTCACACCAGCTCAATCACTACATGTGACTAGTAACTACCGTACAGGACAGCACAAGTATGGAATATCTCCATTAGAACAATTCTATTGGATTCTATTCTATACTTAATATTGTTTATGTGGTAACATCATGTTCTGGAATTATAATTGCCTTGTGTCATTGAAAAAAAACCAATGAATAGTATTTACATTATTAGATAATATATACACATTGCTTCCCAAAGTGCTAAAATGTCTTCTAAACATTTCCCTTCTTGGAAGGCTTTTGTTTTTCTAGGAGTTTCTCATGTCCTTCCTTTGTTACTTGCATTACTTGCTTTTAATATGTTATTTTTCCCCCAATTCTTCATCATGTTAGATATTCTGGTGATTCGCCTTCTCCCAGAGATCTTCCTCGAGGGCCCTTGGTATTAATACTTCTGCTTCAATCTAGGTTGACTCCCCTGGGCTTGCTGCCCACTTGTTATTTTAGGAATTCCCTTTTCTTCTCTCCTAGGCTAGAGCTATTGTTTCCTGAATTCCACATCTTCTCCTTTCTTGGCTTACTTCCTTGTTTTTCTGGAGCACATCCTCAACTAACTTCTTAAGAAAGGCTGTGTGGGAGATGAATTTTCAGAAACCTGTTTGTCTGAAAATATCTTTACTCCATCACCTTCCCCACTTAATTCATAGTTCGGACATGGAATTCTACGGCAAACGTCACCTTTTCTCAGAACTTAAAAAGTATTGCACCATGGACTCTTGACATGAGTTGGATTTGGCTTCTTTTGTAGGTGACCTGTCTTTTCCTACAGACAATTTTTGGATATTCTCCTTATCTTTACTGAAGTTTCACAGTGATGTATCTAGGTCTGGGTTTTGATTGTTTTGTTTTTCATTTTTTGTGCTGGTCACTCAGTGAAATCTTTATATCTGAAGATCAGTGTCCATAAGAGCTGGGACATTCTCTCACATTTTTTTCTTTGTTATATTTTATTTGATACGCTCCTCAATTTTATTTTCTTTCTATGGAACCTCTTTCACTTGGAGAGGAACTCCCAGACTGATTCTTTATGTCTCAGATTTTTTCTCTCATGACTTCCATCTCTGCTTTTTATTCTACTTTCTGAGAGACTGCCTCATCTTTCTCTTCTAATCCTTGTAGTGAATTAAAAAAATTCGGTGATCATATTTTTAATTTCTCATCTCTTGACAGTTGTTTTTCACAGCATCTTATTTCATGGAAGACAGACGTTTTTGTTTCTTTGTTTATCTTCATCTACCCCTTTTGTGTTCTAGACTCTTCTCAAATGTCTGGGGATCCTGGGTTGCCATTTCATGTTTAAAAAAGAGGCAGTAAAAGCTGATAGGAGCTCTGAGTAGTGGAAGAACATGGTTGACTAGTGGCTTCCCTTTAGGGGGAACTAGGCAGGGAGCTACCTGCTACATCAGACTTTCAAATGTCAGGACAAACTGGTCTTTTATTTGGGACATCAACTAAATTTCTTTAGAGAAGGACCTTTTCATCATTTGCCTGGGAGATAGGCCCCTGACTGCCAGATATCCTGCAGGCCTATATGCAATTTATATGCTGTGTGTCCTTGGTGACCAAGTCAGCCTCTCTGACCCTCAGTTTCCTCATCTGTAAAAAATGGGCATACCAGCAGGGGTCAGCTAAAAGAAGGACATGAGTTAGCATATATAAAAGGTCTGGAAGCCTACTTGAAGGTTGCTAGTGGCACGGAATTTTCATGCCCTGCCCTCTACATCCCTTCCCATCCCCAAGTGCGCTTGGGCACGAGCGTGTTTGAGGGGAAGAGGCTTGCTCCCCCACCCCACTGTCCCCGTCCTTACTGAATCAATTCCAACACCCGCCTCTTCATGGCCCGGACCAGGTCCCGCTGGCCTCCAAGCTCCTCCTGGTACATGGCGTCCCTCCTTTCAGCCTCCTGCTGCTTCTGTTCCAGCTGTGCCTGCAGCTGGGCTCTGTCCTCCTGACACCTGGGCACAGAAGGAAGAGCAAGCCATGAGGTGGGGAGCTCAGCACTTGTGACTGAGCTGGACTGGGCCTCTGCCTGGCAGGGGTCCCCGGGGGGGGGAAACTGGTGGTGCCCCCTGCAGCTCAAGTCCACACACAAACACAGAACACATATACAGCATAATACACAACGCAACACACCCCTAACACAGACAACACACACGCAACACAGCACGCAACACAATACACGTAGCACATGACACAGGACACACAGGACACAACATACACATAAGGCATACACACAATGCAACACACACGTACAATATAACACAGTGTGCGTACAATGCGCCCATGTGTACACACACACACAATGCACACATCACACACCAAGCTGAGCACTGTGTGAGGTCTGGCACCTGCACGCTGACTCCTCACCAACCATTCAGAGAAATGACAAACGAAAATAGGGCCAAGCCTTGAGTGCCCCTTTAGAGGGAATGAGCTGACGTTTCCACTTTTCTCTTTGTTTTTCTTCTTTTTTTCTTTTTTTAAAAATTTCCATTTTAAAATGTGATTTTCTCTAAAGGTGTATTCCTGATCATGGCGGCTCTCTGGAGGGAAGGAGGCTGCCCGGCAACCCAGGCTGGATGGGCTGCGCCTGGCTGGAAGCAGCTGTGGGTGGAGAGGGAGCAGCATAGGATTTGGGGGGATTTTTTGCTTTGAAATATTTTGAAAAGTTACGTTACATTGTCTCTTCAATTAAAGAAAGCAAAATGAAAAATATGGCTTTCTTAAAATTTTGTTTTAGTTTTGGCCTTGGAAGCTCCTCAGCTCTATTCTTTTCTTTTTGTCTTTAGTGGTTTTTGAGAAGGTTCCAAGAAGTCTAGTAGACAAGACATAAAGAGGTCCCAGCCCCAGGTCCCAGCCTCTTATGCCACGGCTCGGTGGGGAGGGCGCTGTGACGGCGGGCGGGCACCGGTGGGGGTCCCTGTGCTCTGGGCGTGTGCATGTGTGTGTACGTGTGTGCGCACGCGTGTGTGTGTGCAAGTGCGCTTGGGCACGAGCGTGTTTGAGGGGAAGAGGCTTGCGACAGGCTTGACAACGAATCAAGCAACTGATTTTGAGAACACTGCCATTTAGCATGCTGCAGGGAAGAAAGTTGAGGGGCTCATGAAATGGAACCGGCAGCAGTAGCCACTGACCTTCCAAAAGGGCCAGTCACTGCAGGCTTGAGAGGGTTCTGGTGCTCAGGCGTGGGTCAGGGCCAGGCTTTGACTTTTAATGAACGTTCTAGTCTTCAGCCTCCTCGTTTCTTAGCTGCTGGCTTTAATTTTCCTGAGCCAGTTTACTTGCCCAGTGATCCCAGGTCCTTATGGGACCAGTGGGGTGCACATGTGTGTCCGGGGTGGGAGGGAACACTTACTTAGCACCTACTGTATGCCAGGGGCTGTTTGGGTGCCAGGAATAGAGCAGTGCCTACGCTCCTGTGCACGTGACAGCGAGTTTGGGGCGGTGGTCAAAGCAAGTGATAGACCGATAAAACAATTAAACTCAGTGTTCTGACAGTGACAAAGGCGGGCTTGAGACAGACCAGAGAAGGTGTGCAGGGACGGCTTCTCAGACAAGGTGACACGTGCGCAGACCTGAAAGATGAGAAGTCAGCCTTGTGGAGCCAGGCAGGGCGCATGCAGAAGGCTGCCAGTTGGAAAGGGCTGGGCTGGTTTGAGGAACTGAAAGAAGACTAGAAATCTGGAAGGCCATGCAGGGCAGAGGGGAGCGGGGAAGGCAAGAGAGGAGGGGGGAGGCGGCAGGGCCTGCTGTGTCCTCCAGTGGCACAGGAGGAGTGAATGCTAATCTCAGTGCAACGGGAAGCCACTGGAGTGTTTAAGCAGGGGGCGACAGATGCTCCGAGTGCAGGAGAGGACAGGGAAGGAATTAGTTTAATGGCAACTACTATATGTCAGGCACCGATGCTAGTGTTTTGTAGCCCTGTTCATATGGTTTTCACAATGTGATGAGACAGGTAATATCATCCTCCTTTTACAAGAGAGAAAAGTAGAGCCTCAGAGAGGGAGTGACACTTGCCCAGGGTCACACAGTTTGATCAGTGGAAGAAGCAGAAATCTGGACACAGGCTTGTTGAGCTTTTAACTTCTGCTTCCCCACGTCTCCATGCACACAGGGCCCTGATCACCAGCGATCTCTGGCACCAGCGCCAAGTAGGCAGCAGGTGGGAGAGAGGGATGGGTCCCCACAACCCCTGTGGGCCTTGGAGGAGCTCAGTGCTGCCGTCCTTGGGGTGGAGGAGATGTGGTGTTGCCTAATTCCGCATCCTGAGGACCTCTTTGATTTGCGTCAGTCCTAATCTCCTTTGCTTGGCAGTCTCACCCAGGGGCAGAGGAAACCCCCTGCTTGGACAGATGGCCCTGCAGAGCATCTGTGCTGGGAGAAGGAACCGCAGCAATCACATCATCTGCTTTTGCTAATTGGGGACCTGAGGCCCAAAGAGGGGAGGCCACTGTCTCAGAGGCCTGCAGCCAGAGAGCCAGGAAGTGGGTGTTGGAACTCTGTCTCAGTCCAAGTCCATTTTCATAGCCCTGCGGTTCTGCCCCGGTGCTGCCTCCTCCAGGGACAGCTGCTGCTCGCCTCTGCCTTTCCTGGGCCCTGTGTGGGGGCCTTCACTGTCCCCCCTCAGTTTGTCCTCCAAACTACAGCCTGAGCGAGCCCTTTGAACACCAATGTCAAACTGAGAGACTCACCTGCTGCAACCCTGCCCCAGCCTCCCATGGCATGGAGAAGAATCCCAGAGTTTCACTCGGCCTTCAGGGCCCCTGGCTACTGCTCGGTCCCTCTCTCTCCTGCTCAGACACTCCCGAAGCGTCCGGCCTGCCTGTCATCAAGCCCACATCTTTTGGGCCTTTGTCTCTGCCGTCCTCCTGGCCAGCAGTGCCCCTCCCCAGACATTCGCATGGTCCCGTCTCTCGCATGGTTGGGTTTTCTGCTCAGATGTCACCTCCTGGCAGAGGCCTGTCTGGAGTCTGAATGACTATCCCGCCTTTATCCCTTTCCCCGGCTGTATTTTTCTCCAGAGCATCTACTACTACCTGACATGTATTTCTATTTGTTTATCTATTGTCTGTCTCCCAGCGCATGTAGGGCAGACCGCACCTGTTTTATTCATGGCTGTACACCCCCCGCCCCACTGCCCCACTCACGGCCATAGTAGAGGCACGATAAGTATTGTCGACAGAATGAATGGGCCCTGTGGCACTCCTGTTCACTGTGGCGAGATGCCCGTTACCAGCTGGAAGCCCAGGGTCCCTTTTCCTGAAAGTGAGTGTTGTCCTTAGCTCCCTGGATCCCAGGAGTCAGGGGAGCATGTTCTCTTCCCAGCCTCAGGGGCAGCTGTATTTACATTCTGACGCTTCCCAAATCCGTCTCCCGCCCCTACTTCCTTCCTGAACCCCACACCTGACTTCTTACCCTGCGACCCCACTCAAGTGTCTAACAGGTGCCTCAAACTTGACATGTTTGAATCTAAGCTCTGAACTTTCCCCACAAACCTGCCCTCCCACAGCCTCCCCATCTTGGTTAACAGTGACTCAGCTTTCCACTTGATCAGGTAGAAAATCCGGGTCATTCTTGACTTCTGTCTTTCTCTTAGACCCACATCCAATCCCTCAGGAAGCCCCACTCTGGAATTTATCCAGCACCCAGCAGCTTCTCCTCCCTCCGTTGCCTCCAGCCCAGTCAGGCCCCTTTGCTCTCCCCTGCACTGCGGCAGCAGCCTCCTTCCTGGGCTCCTCGCACCTAGCTTGCTTGCCTGCAGGCTGGCTCTATAGGGCCTTTTAAAATCAAGTCAGTCTGGAACAGGCCAATCTATAGAGACAGAAAGTGAACTCGTGGTTGCCTATGGCTGGGGAGGGTCAGGCGTGGGGGGCAGTGCCTGTTAATGGGTACAGGATTTCTCTTTGGGTTGATGAAAATGTTCTGAAATTGATTGTGGTACTCTGTACTTCACAGTACTCTGAATGTACTAAAGACCTTGAATTGTTAAAAATTTGAAAAGCATACATACATATATGTGACACTAAAAAAACCTCAGATCATGTCCCTCCTCTGCTCAGAACTTTCAATAGCTCCCATCTTACTCTAAGTCAAAGCCAAGGTCCTTTCAATGACCCACCAAGCTCTCCCTAACCATTGCCTGACCTTTTTCTACATCTTCTCCCTCCTTCGCTCCACTAGGGCCAGAATGGCCCCCCTGATGTTTCCAGAACCTGCCATGCCCATTCCCACCTCAGGGCTTTTGCTCTTGCTGTTTCCTCTGCCTGGAACATCTTCAAATGTCGCACTCCTCACTCAGTAAAGACTTGAGCCTTTACTTAAACAACATCTTTTCAGGGAGGCCTTGCCTGGCCATGCCACCTTATTTAAAATGTCACCCCTGAGATAAATTCAGCAAGAGGATATAACAATTGTGAATATATATGCAGCAGATATCAGGGAACCCAGGTATAGAAAGCACATATTATTAAAAGTAAAGAGAGACAGACCCTAATACAATGATAGCCGACTTCAACATCCTACTTTCAGTGCTAGACAGATGATCTAGACAGAAAATAACAAAGAAACATCAGACTTAAACTGTCCTATAGACCAAATGGATCAGATAGACATCTACATAGCATTTCATCCAACAACTACAGAATATACATTCTTCTCATCAGCACATGGAGCATTCTCCAGGATAGACAACATGTGAGGCCACAAAACAAGTCTCAACAAATTTAAGAAAATTGAGATTGTATCAAGTATCTTCTCAGACTACAATGGACTAAAACTAGAAATCAGAAACAAGAAGAGATCTGGAAACTGTACAATGACAGAAATTAAACAATATGCTCCTGAACACTCAATGGTTATATGAAGAAATTATTATAAAAAGGAATTCCAATAATTTTGTGAAACAAATGAAAATGGAAACATAATATACCAAAACCCATGGCATACAGCAAAAGCA